CAAAAATTACCCAGTTTCACATATTCTGGTAAAAGCAACAGAAAATGAACCAAGACCAAAACGTAGGGGAATGTGTTTATTACTGTGGATTTGGCAATGGATTCTTACATATGACACCAAAAACACTGGGCTTCATCAATATTAAAAGCTTGTGCGCATCAAGAGACATTATCATTCATACTGGCATAAAAACAGATACACAGAATGATGGAACAGAATAGAGAGCCCAGAAAAATAATTCACAAATTTATGATTAATCGATTTTTGCCACAATGCAAAGAACACACAAAGGGGAAAGGACAATCTATTCAATAAATGGTGTTGGACAAAACGGATATTTCTACGTGCAAAAATAAAATAAAATAAAAATAAAAAAGGTCCCCATCTCACACGATATACAAAAACAATGTAAGACTTGAAAGTATAAAATTACTAGAGAAAACAGGAGGAAATCTCCATGAGGTTTATCAGGGAAATAACTTTTTGGATAGGACTCCAGGCAGAGAAAGCAAATATAGACAAAGGACATTGCATCAAATTTAAGACCTTCTGTGCAACAAAAGAAATAGTCAGTGGAGTGAAGAGACAATCTACAAAATGGCAGAAGATATTTTCATACTATACATGTGAAAAAGAATAATTTCCCCAAATATAGAAGGAACACAGACAATTCAATGGTAAGAAAACAAATAACCTGATTAAAAAATGAGGAAAGGACCTGAATAGAAATTTCTCAAGAGATACAAACTGCCATAAGGTATGCAAAAAGAAATGCTCAGCATCACTAATCGTCAGGGTAATGTAAATCTAAACCACATTGAAATATCACTGCACACCTGTTAGAATGACTACTATCATAAAGACAACCAGTAACATGTGCTGGTGAGGATGTGGATCATCATTTTTGAACACGGAGGGTGGAAATGTAAATTAGAAAAACCTTTATGGAAAACAGTATGGAGGTTCCTCAAATAATAAAAAATGGAACTACCAAATGGTCTAGCAATCTTAGTGCTAGGTATATATTCAAAGGATATGATATTAGTATATCAAGAAATATATACTCTCCCATTTTTATTGCTGCTTTATTCACAATAGCCAAGATACAGAATCAACCTAAGTGTCCATCATCAGATGAAAGAAAATGCAGCATATGTGTTCAATGGAATACTTTTCAGCCTTATGAAAAGAAGAAAATCATGTCACTGGCTACTACATGGAGGAACCTGGAGGAAATTATGTTAAGTGAAATAAGCCAGGCACAAAAAGACAAATACGGCAAAATCTGACATATGTGGAATCTAAAAAAGTTGAACTCATATAAACAGAGATTAAAATAGTGGCCACTGCAGGCTGGGGAGTTGGGAAAGTGGGTAGATCTTGATGAAAGGATGCACACAAAATTTCAGTTATACAAGAGGGAAAAGTTCATGATATCCATTGTACATTATGGTGGCTACACTTAATAAATTATATACCTGAAAAGAATGGAAATGGAGAGACAACTTACAGAATGAGGGAAAATATTTGTAAACATACATTGAATAAGCATTTAATGCATAGAATACATAAGGTCTTGAAGCTCAGAAACAAAAAGATTAATATACAAACAATATGATAAACGACTTGAAAAGATATTTCTCCACAGGAGATATACCAACTGCTAACACAGCACAATAAATGATGCTCAATTAGTCATTATAAAAATGTACATAAAGAGCACAATGAGATACCACTTTATATCCACTAGGAGGCTATAATTTTTAAAAGAAAAATAAGAAATATTAGTGAGGATGTGAAGATATTGGAACCCTCATATATTGCTGGGAATGTAAAATGTGCCAGCTGCTTTAAAAAACACATTTGTTGATTCATCAAAAAGTTAAACCAAGCATAATGACTCAGCAGTCCCACTTTTAGGTATACTCCCCAAATAACTGCAAAAAAGTGCTCATACAAATAAATGTATATGCATGTTCATTGCAGCACTATTCAGAATAACCAAAAGTTAGCAATACTCCAAGTGACAATCAATGGATGAATGAATATACAATTTGTGGTGTATACATACAATGGAATATTATTCAACCATAAGAAGGAATGGAAGAGGTAAACATTAAACAATTGAATAGCCAAAGGGAATGAAGAAATTAAGGAAGGAAGGAAAGATAAAAGGGAAAAAGTAAAGAGGAAGAAAGGAAGGAAAGCAGAAGCAAAGAATGAAGAAAGAAACATAAAGAAACAACAACTGAAAAGTTATTTTAGGTAGTGTGTTACTCTGAATCATCTGGACAAACCAGCATTCAAATCTAGATTGCTGCTTTGAAGTAGAAAATGACATCGCTATTCTTACCAAAAAAAGGAGTAGCAAAGTTGGAAGTGGGTTTACAGTCAGGTTACCAGGTTATAGTCCAACTAAATCTCAGGTTCTTTTCTTATGAAATAAGGTGAATGACAGGAAAGAGCTCAAAAAGTATATTCAGGATTAAATAAAGTCATACATGTAAAACAGGAAGCACAGTGCTGATATGCTAAGCACATTGTTTTGACTGTTGTATGATTTTTACTCTAATTATTTTAGGGGGGAAAAAGACCACAAAAATCCAAAACAAAGAAACAAAAAACTAAGAAGAAGAACAATGTTTAACAGATTAATTTTGGAAAGATCATGTTAGCAGTTGATATAAAAAAATGCTTTACATATCAATTTAGAAATTGAGGAATAGTTGTAAGTTTCACAGATGAAACTTAATATGCAGCATGTAGGGAAGAAAAGCCAAAAAGGAATCACAGAGCAAACTGTTCAAAAGAAACAAATACACACATGCACACACACAAAGCAAAGACAAACAGAGATGCTATGGAAATAGAAAAGGAAGGCATGTCTTTTAGGTGAAAAAAGAGCCAGAATATTTATTTATTTATTATTTTTTTTATCAATATACTATGTAGTTGATTTACGTGTCCCTTTATGGAATTCTCCCTCCCCCTCCCTCTCCCCACTCCTGCCCATCAACATTACATCTGTTTGTCTTAACAAGTTCAAGGAATAGAATAGAGAATCCAGAAACCAACCCACACACCTAGCTGTCTGATCTTTGACAAAGGCACCAAGCCTATACACTGGGGAAGAGACTGCCTCTTCAGCAAATGGTGCTGGGAGAACTGGATACCCATATGCAGGAGAGTGAACCTAGACTCATACTTCTCACCACATACCAAAATAAACTCAAAATGGATTAAAGAATTAAATATACACGCTGAAAAAATAAAACTCCTTAAAGAATACATAGGGGAAAAACTCCGGGAAATAGGATTGGGAGCCAGGATATTTAAATTCACAACATTTGCCTGAGTAGCCCACAGTGCCTACTTAGTTCTGAGATCAGTGATGCTTCACAGATAAGAGTCTGTTCTGCAGATGAATCTTCCCAGGGCCCCCTTCACATCCTTGTTCCTTAGGCTGTAGATGAAGGGGTTCAGCATGGGGGTGACCACAGTGTACATCACTGAGGTGACTGAGGTTCCCTGGGAAGAATGGGTCACAGCAGAACTCAGGTAGACCCCAAGTGATGTTCCATAAAACAAGAGGACCACAGAGAGGTGAGAGCCACAGGTGGAAAATGCTTTATACTTGCCTGCAGTAGAGGACATCTTCATTAAAGAGGAGACTATCTTAGAGTATGAGAAGAGGATTCCCGTGATGGGAAACAGACACAGTGGTGCAGTCATCACATACACAAAGAGGTTATTGATAAGGGTATCAGAGCAGGCCACCTCGAGAAGCTGAGCCAGTTCACAGAAGAAATGTGGAATCTCAGTGCCTGTAGAGAAGGTCAACCGCATCATCAGTAGAATGTGAACCAGGGCTACCCAGAAAATGATGAACCAAGACATCAGGACCAACAGGATGCAAAGGCGGGGGTTCATGATGACTGTGTAGTGCAGGGGGTGGCAGATGGCCACGTAGCGGTCATAGGCCATCACAGTCAGTAGAAAATTATCTAGTCCTCCAAACATCATGAAAAAAAACACCTGAGTGAGGCACCCTGCATAGGAGATGTCTTTGCTCTGTGCCTGGATGTTCACCAGCATCTTTGGGACCGTGGTGGAGGTGAAACAGATGTCAACAAAGGACAGGATGGAGAGGAAGAAGTACATGGGGGTGTGGAGGTGGGAGTGAGAGCTGATGGCCAGGATGATGAGCAGGTTCCCGAGTGCAGTGACCAGGTACATGGACAGGAACAGCCCAAAGAGAAAGGGCTGCAGTTCAGGATCTTCTGAAAAGCCCAGGAGGAAGAATTCTGATACTTCTGTGTGGTTTTCTGCTTCCATGTAGCTGGGGTGTCTTCTGGGGAAGGAGGCAAAAGCAACCTTCAATGAGCAGCCAACTAACACCTCCGTTAGTTATTTTACAATGTCACTCTTGGATGAACGTCCTTTAAGCTCTGTATGTCCTTCTAATGACAGTGATTCACTCAGCCAAGTAGTAGCCCAATTCCATTTCAAAGGTGTATCATTATTCAGTGTTTCAGTGTGTTTTTCATTGTTTGGTTTTTGTTTAAATTTAACAGAAATCTCCCTTTATCTTCTACTCACTAGTTCTAAATCTCCTATTTGAATATAAGAACAGAAATTAATTTCTTTATTTATGTGATTCTTCCAAAATAATTGGAAATTAATTTCTATACTTTATTCTAGTAGCTCTACAATAGTGATTGACATGAATTTTTAATTCAAAATTTAAACGTTTATTTTGTGAACTGATTCTTCCTAGTGATGTGACAGTTAACTTTCAGAACCTATTTTTTTTCTAAAAATTTGATTATTCTTATTACCTTCTTTGTGAGGCTTACAATACCTTTGAGCACTGTAGGCATATCAATGAATGATAGCTGCTATTATTACTGTTATGATTATGTACTTTTTATGACAATTATTTTGATATACAACTCTCCCAATGTGCAGTGTAGAGCTGTGGTTTAGAAAATGATTTCTTGGATCAGACTTACTAGAATAAAATTTTGGTTCACCAACTGACCATCTCTTTGACCTTAATAAATTTATTTAATCTTTCTTAGTTGCACAAACCACGTCTCCACAATGAGAATAGTAAATATCCCTACATTGCAAGACTGAATACTGAATTAAATGAGATGATGCATGCACTTTTTTTTAGTGTGGTTCCTGTGACATACAGTGGGCACTTAATACATGTGAGCTTCTGTTCTAAACATCACAATAATCTTTCTTGCATGGCTATCATTTATCAATATACCCCTTAAACTGGAATAGCCAGGAAGAATAGAATTCTGATCATTAAAACACAACAGGTGTGTTAGCTCTTTTGATGTTCATAAAGCACTTCTAATTAGTAAAGATTCATATGGTCCCTCTTCCAGAAACAGCCTGCCAGATGGGTTCTTCCAAGGAGAGGAAAAAGCCTGGTGACCACGTACATGAGAGGAGAAAGCAAAAGCAAACAATGATTAATGTAAAATACAAGGTATGTGTGAGAGTGTGTGCTAATGTGTACAGTCTCTTGAATGGGGACATATTGTATTAAAATCAGCAGAACTAATTGCCCAAATATACGATGGATGTATCTGACTGAAAATATTCCAAACTTATAGAAATCGAACCATCCAAGAAAAAATAAAAAGCAAATTTAAGGTTTGAAAGTAAATGTTTACGTTCTCCATGAGAGAAAAACAGTCAGTATTATTAATGCCTATAGAATGATAATTAATTAAAGACTGAACATATTATTGACGATCAATTTAGTCTTGGAAGGTATTGACATCACTAGTCATCAGGGAAATGCAAATTAAAACTTCATTGAGATACCACCTCACCTCTATTAGACTACAATAATCAAAAAGATGGTAAATAACAAATGCTGGTGAGGGTGTAGAGAGAAGGGAACACTCCTACACTGTTGGTGGGACTATAAATTAGTACAACCACTATGGAAAATGGTATGGAGTTTTCTCAAACCACTACAGATGGATCTTCCATATTATCCAGCAATCCCACTTCTGGGTATATACCCAGAGGAATGGAAATCATCATGTCTAACGGACACCTGCACGTTGAAGGGACAGCTGCACTCACATGTTCATTGCAGCTCTGTTTACAATAGCCAAGACATGGAAACAACTTAAATGTCCATTGATGGATGATTGGATAAGGAAACTGTGGTATATATACACCATGGAATACTACTCTGCCATTAAAAAAATAAAATACTCACATTTGCAACAACATGGATGAACCTGGAGAAACTTATGTTGAGTGAAATAAGCAAAGCATAGAGGGATAAATACCACATGTGCTCACTCATATGTGGGAGCTAAGAGAGAAAGAAGGAAGGAAAGAAAGACCACAGTGGTGCATTGGACTTGCAGAGGGAGAACATTCCTTGGGCTACAAAGTGGAGTGGGAGGGGAGGGGAAGGGTGGTTTTGGATAATTGGGTGGGGCACAAGGAGTACAAATGTACTTTGTGGTAATGGGTATGCTGCCAGTATGAATCTGGCTCCCACATCATGGGCACAAAGGGTGACAATCAGCTTTGTATCTCATGAATATTTATAACCAATAAAAAAACCAAACAAACAAAAAAAGGAGAAGGTTCTTTAAATTATTAATGTTTTAGCTGAGAGGAGAAGGATGGATCATTGTTAATCAGGGAATTAAGGAAAAAATAAATATCCTAGGCTGAGAGAACAAAATACTCATGGAGAGGATTGGAGAGACAAGGGTGATGGGGAGCAAAGACTGAGGGTCAGGAGGAGCAGAGCGTGTGAGGGCCCCACATACGAAAACTTGTACTTTTTCTTGACATCCCTCTCACATTTGGAAATTTATGTTTATTTGTGGGCCTGAGGTTCTGTTTTGGCCCATCATTTGTCTTTCCAGGAACCTCTAGGGTGCCTGTCACATTGTATATACTCAGTAAACCCAAATGTCAAATGTATAATAAGGACAGAGACCATAATGTCAACAGTAGCACAAAAAAGACCTTTTCAAGCACATGACATGCTTGACTATAGAAACAAAATTGAATGGTAAAGTTACATAAAATATATTTGCATCTATTTTTAAAAGAATAATACATAACGAAAGGTAATATTGATTCTACAAGTGACATTCAGTTTAATATAAGGATATTTGTTAACATAATCCATGAAGAGAAATCATAACCATAATCACATACAGAAAATATTCTCGAGAAAATATAACAGCCACTATCGTGTTCAGAAGTCAGGGCAGAACTCTTGGTAAACAAAGAAACCAATGACAATTTCTTAAGCCAATAAAAAATGATAGTTTTACAGCCAACAGGCTATGCTAACTTAAAACACGAACATATTTGTGTTAAATTTGTGAACACACCAAGGAAATCTACTCCAACTTCAATCATTTGATATTTTCCTGAAGGTTTAGAGGGATTAGTAATACCAGTAAAGAAAATTGGACTGAGTGATGAGCATTAGAAATAATTGCGTTATTTATAGATAATATCATAGACAATAAGGTGAAACAAGATTATAACAATATGGAACTAATAAAGGCTAACAGGAAGTCAAACTTGCCAGTAAAAAATAGGTGGGGAATATAATAGAAAAATCCAATCACATTAGGAACAAAATAGACAATACCTTGTGTCTCATAGATCTTCAGTGAGTACTTGATGAATGAATATTTAGATGCAGGAAATTCAACAAAAGCCTATGATTTATACGGAAGAGTGAAGGAGATTGAAGACCCTCCGGAGAATAACTCAAGTCAGAGAGAGGCTTTAGATTCCAAAGAGTGAGAGAAAGAATCAGAACAAGAGCTGGAAAAGACTGGTTTCAGTGGAATGATTTATACGGAAGAGTGAAGGAGATTGAAGACCCTCCGGAGAATAACTCAAGTCAGAGAGAGGCTCTAGATTCCAAAGAGTGAGAGAAAGAATCAGAACAAGAGCTGGAAAAGACTGGTTTCAGTGGAAACTAAAGAATTTTCAATGTACAGAGACTTCACCATCATAGATTAAATAAATATGGAACTCTCCAAGTCTTATGATCCTAAACATAAAGCCCAGTATCTACTTTCTCTTCAATTTTTCTTCTTACTCCACCATGTCTTGCTGAGTCACACTGACTCTATAATGATTGTCATTGAAACTTTCTGTTCTCCATGATCTATTCCTAGTGAGGCAGGATTGAGCAGGCACTTGCCCCAGGGGGGCTGATCATAGATATTCAGGCTGCTCAAGCTGACACAGCTAGCAACACCTTAACCACCTTACCAATCAGCTCACCCTTCTTTGGAGCCTTGTGTTTTTCTGAGCAGGAAACAAAACCACAAATTACACCAACCCCCTTGTTCTTTGATTCTCAGAAAAGAGCTTACACCTACAAAAAGCACCCCCTAAATGCCCATTTTCTTTGATTCTCAGAAACTCAAGCAAAAAGGTACACAAGCCCCCTTTTTCCTTGAATATTCCTCCCCTCAGTTAAGATGGAGGAACACCTCCAACCCAGAACAACATAAAACCCTTTCCTAAGAATTCACAGGGTGGTCCACATTGGTGAGGTCACCTGCACACCTCCTGCATGCACTTTTCCTTTGCAATAAGCTTTGAATATGAGTGTGACTCTGTCGTGCGAGCTTGAAGTTGTTGTCGTATTCTTCCCCTGATAAATTCAAATACCTGTGTCTCTGACATCACTAAGAAAATCAGAAAAGCCTAATTTTCACACAGGTTGGGATTAGTGCATTACAGTTAAGGGGCATGTTTAAAGTTTCCAGCATCTCAGGGGTTGAATTCTCAGAGCACTTCATTAAATAAATTGTTCTATTTTCTTTGCATTTTCCAATCAGTTTAGCTCCTTTGGGGTACAAAGACCATAGTAGAATAAAAAACTTTCTGTCAATTTTGCATCTGTGTAGGCAGCAGTAGGAGGAGATGAATTTATTCCCTCCAAGGAGAAACTCTTCTTTATTTAGTTTGATTCAAAAGTCTCAAGGTTTTCCCTAAGGAAAGTCTAATCTCTACAAGGAAACATACTCAGGAATAATCTTTCTGTAATGTGCCTCTTTTGAAAAATATTTGGATATTTTGTGGATCAATTGGTCCTCACAATGTTATGGGGCAAATAGTTTTTTAGAAAAAATAGTCTCTATTTTTTTTTCAGGTTTATGCTTATTTTCTAATTGACAAATTAAATTGTATGTATTAAATGTGTTCAACGTGATGTGTTGAAGTATATATATGTTGTAGAGTGGTTAAATGCAGCTGGTTAACATGCGTATTACCTCACATAGTTATTATTTTTGTGGTGAGAA